CTACCTACCTACCTGCCGGCCTGCTCCTCCTTCTCCTCCTCCTCCTCCTCCTGCTCCTGCTCCTGCTCCTCCTCCTCCTCCTCTGTTCCGGCCGGGGCTCCTCCTTCTCCTCCTTCCTCTTCCCGGCCTACGTGGGGGAAAGGGAGGAAGGAAGGGAGGCAGGCAGGCAGGCAGGGCGGGCAAGGGGGCGGAGTGGGCCCCAAACCCGCCCAACAGCCAAAAGCCAAGCCCAGCCCCTTTCTTTTGGGCTTGGGAGGGAGGGAGGGAGGGAGGGAAGTCATGGAGGAAACCAGGAAAAGGAACAGAATCTGGTGACAAGCATTTAAAAACGAGAACAACACGAGAGAGAACCAAGGCAGCAAATGAAGACCTCCACTCCAAAACAGGAGAATCCCAGACTATTTCTTTGTCGTGTCAGGGCAACCAGTCACTTATATTACATTTCTAACAGAACAAAGCAAACAAACAAACAGGCAAAATACAAAATGTGTGAGTTTGGTAGTTGATTAAATGTCCTTTGACCAGTATCTGGCCACTTGGAGTGCCTCTGGTGTTGCTGCAAGAAGGTCCTCCATTGTGCATGTGGCAGGGCTCAGGGTGCATTGCAGCAGGTGGTCAGTGGGTTGCTCTTCTCCACACTCGCATGTCGTGGATTCCACTTTGTAGCCCCATTTCTGAAGGTTGGCTCTGCATCTCGTGGTGCCATGTTCAGCGCCTTCCAAGTCGCCCAGTCCTCTGTGTGCCCAGGGGGGAGTCTCTCATTGGGTATCAGCCATTGATTGAGGTTCTGGGTTTGAGCCTGCCACTTTTGGACTCTCGCTTGCTGAGGTGTTCCAGTGAGTGTCTCTGTAGATCTTATTTCTAGATTTAAGTTGTGGACGTGCTGGCTGATACCCAAACAAGGGATGAGCTGGAGATGTCTCTGCCTTGGTCCTTTCACTATTGGCTGCTACTTCCCGGCGGATGTCAGGTGGTGCAATACCGGCTAAGCAGTGTAATTTCTCCAGTGGTGGGCGCAGACACCCCGTGATAATGCGGCATGTCTCATTAAGAGCCACATCCACTGTTTTAGCGTGGTGAGATGTGTTCCACACTGGGCATGCAGACTCAGCAGCAGAGTAGCATAGCGCAAGGGCAGATGTCTTCACTGTGTCTGGTTGTGATCCCCAGGTTGTGCCAGTCAGCTTTCGTATGATATTGTTTCTAGCGCCCACTTTTTGCTTGATGTTCAGGCAGTGCTTCTTGGATGTCAGAGCACAGTCCAGAGTGACTCCCAGGTATTTGGGTGCGCTGCAATGCTCCCGTGGGATTCCTTCCCAGGTCATAATCCTCAGATCTCGGGAGGCTTGTCTGTTCTTGAGGTGAAAGGCACATGTCTGTGTTTTAGATGGATTAGGGATCAGCTGGTTTTCCCTGTAATAGGCAGTAAGGGCACCTAGAGCTTCGGAGAGCTTCTGTTCAACCATCTCAAAGCTCCCTGCTTGAGCAGTAATGGCACGATCATCAGCATAGATGAAGCTCTCTGTCCCTTCTGGCAGTGGCTGGTCATTTGTGTAGATGTTGAACATGGATGGAGCAAGCATGCTCCCCTGAGGCAGGCCGTTCTTCTGTTTCCGCCATCTGCTTCTCTGGCCCTGGAACTCAACAAAAAGCTCCTGTTTTGTAGCAGGTTTCCTATGAGGCGGGTGAGGTGGTCGTCCTTTGTGATATTATACATTTTTCTCAGGAGGAGGCAGTGGTGGTTCACAGTATCATAGGCTGCTGACAGGTCTACGAAGACAGCTCCTGTGATCTGCTGCCTTTCAAAGCCATCTTCTATGTGCTGAGTCAGGTTCAGCACTTGCGATGTGCAGCTTTTGCCTTTCCTGAAGCCAGCTTGCTGTGGGATCAGACATGGGTCTATTTTTTCTGTAATTCTATGCAAAATAAGTCTCTCCAGAACTTTGTAGAGGTGGCACAACAGGGAGATTGGTCTGTAGCTTTTTGGGTCATTGCGGTCTTTGCCTGGCTTCAAGATGGCTATGACTCTGCTTTCCTCCAGATTTTGGGGATCTGACAGGACGCAGTGCAGTTGTTCATCAGCTCCAGCAGCCAGTGCCTTGCTTTGGGACCAAAGTTCTTGATTTGTTCCATTTGTTCTATCCGTAGATCATCCAGGCCAGCTGCTTTGCTATTCCAGACTGCCATCCATCCAGTGCCAGTTAATACCTCCCAAACAAAGGATACTGTTTAGGAATTGTGGGAATTGCAGTCCAAAACACTTGGAGGGAGGACCCAAGTTGGTCCAGGCCAGGTCTAGATGACCTCTGGGGGCCCCTTTATTATAATGCAGACATCCATTGAAAGTGAAGGACACCCAAGCTCTTGTTACCAGACTCCCCAAAAAAGTAATGGCCCACCCCTCTCTTTATTTTATTCCTTTCTAGAAGAACAAAGCCTGTCTAGATGACCTTTGGGGTACCCTTTATTATAATACGGGGCTTCCACTAAAAGTGATGGGCTCTCCTCCTTTGGAGAGTCTTCAATTCAGGCTAGATATCCATTTCTCTCTCTGTGTGTTCCAATATATAAAATCGGGATCTGTCTAGATTACCTTTAGAGGGGTCCTCTTCCCAATTCAATTGCATTAATAGGCCCCACTGGGAGGTCCAATCCAGACGGCCCCGGATTTGCTTTACAATATCATGAAATCGCATCATGAAATTTGCACATCATGAAATCCTAGAATCAGAGTGAGAAGGGATTCCCGGCAGGTTTGCAGGTTTGAATCCAGGAGAGTGCGGATGAGCTCCCTCTGTCAGCTCCAGCTCCCCATGCAGGGACATGAGAGAAGCCTCCCACAAGGATGGTTAAAACATCAAAATATCTGGGTGTCCCTGGGCAATGTCCTTGCAGACGGCCAATTCTTTCACACCAGAAGCAACTTGCAGTTCCTCATCTATCTATCTTCTATATAAATAACAATGTCATGTTTGTTTGTGGGATTAACAGAACTCAAAAAGCACTGGATGAATTGAGACCAAATTTGGACACAAGACACCTCTCAGGCCGACGAGTGACCATCACTCATAAAAACACTGAAAAACACGACAGAAGAGACGTAAAAAGCCAAAAAAAACAAAGAATGCATTACACCGCATGCGCAAAACCACACATATATACGCAAACACACATATAGACACATATGCACAAATACACACACACAAACATATATACACATATATATACACACACAAAATACATATACACAGACTGGGCCATGGCAGGGGATGGCTAGTCGATATAAATAAAAATGTAATGTTCGTTTGTGGGATTAACAGAACTCAAAAACCACTGGACAAACTGACACCAAATTTGGACACTACACCCCAAACAGACTAATGAGTGACCATCACTCATAAACCCCTCCAAAAAAAAAAGGGAGGACTTTAAAAACCCCAAAAGCTAAATGAATACAGAAAAAAGGGAAGGAAGAGGGAGGGAAGGAAGGAAGGGAGAAAGAAAAGGAAGGAAGGAAAGAAGAAGGAAGGAGGAAGGAAAGAGGTACAGAAGGAAGAAAGGAGAGAAAGAGGAAAAGAAAGGGGAGTTGGAAAGGAAAGGGGTAGAGAAAGAAGGAAGGAGAGAAGTAAAGAAAAAAATAAGGAAGGAAAGAGGGAGCGAAGGAAGAAGAGAAAGAAAGAGAAAGAGGGAGGGAGGGAAAGACAGAAGGGAGGGTAGAAGCAAAAAAGCAAAGAAGGAAGGAAAGAGGTAGAAAAGGAAAGAGAAAGAGGAAAAGAAAAAGAGATAGAGAAGGAAAGAAAAAAGTAAGGAAGGAAAGAGGGAACAAAGGAAGAAAGTAGAGAAAGAGGGAGGGAAGGACAGACAGAAGGAAGGGCGGAAGCAAAAAATGAAGGAAGGAAGGAGAGAAAAGGAAGGAAAAGGAAAAGGGGAAAGGAAAGAGATAGAGAAGGAGGAGGAGAGAAGGAAATAAAAAGAGAAAGGAAAGAAGAAGAAGAAGGAAAGGAGGGAAAGAGGGAGGGAAGGAAAGACAGAAGGAAGGGTGGAAGCAAAAAGTGAAGGAAGGAAGGAAAGAGGCAGAGAAGGAAGAAAGAGGAGGAAAAGAAAAAGGGGGGAAGGAAAGAGATAGAGAAGGAAGGAAGGAGAGAAGGAAAGAAACAAGTAAGGAAGGAAAGAGGGACTGAAGGAAGAAAGGAGGGAAAGAGGGAGGGAAGGAAAGACAGAAGGAAGGGTGGAAGCAAAAAGTGAAGGAAGGAAGGAAAGAGGCAGAGAAGGAAGAAAGAGAGAGAGAGGTAAGGAAAAGAAAAAGGGAGGAAGGAAGGAAAGAGGTAGAGAAGGAAGGAAGGAGAGAATGAAAGAAGAAAAGGAAAGAAGGAGGGAAAGAAGGAGAGAAAGAGGGAGGGAAGGTTGGGCACAGCAACGCATGGCGGGTACAGCTAGTATATACATTAAAATGTAGTATTTGTTTGTAGGATTAACATAACTCAAAAACCATTGGATGAATTGACACCAAATTTGGTCCCAAAACACCTCTCAGGCCAACGAGTGACCGTCGCTCATAAAAACACTGAAAAACACGACAGAAGAGACTTAAAAAGCCAAAAAAACAAAAAATACATTACAACATATGCGCAAAACCACATATATACACATATACACACACAAAACACATATACACAGACTGGGCCACAGCAATACATGGCAGTGAAAAATAAATAAATAGAATCATGGGCTTAGAAGGGAAAGCCACAGTCTTGCTTTGGGGAAAGTGATGTCCTTGGTAAATAACTCCCTATGGTTTCTATAAGGAGATATATTCATTTCTTCAATGCTAAAGTGCACTTTCCCCCATATGAACATTTCTAAAAATGGGGTGCATCTTAGAATCGAGGGTTCTTGTTCCTATAGAGAGAAATAAAGCCTTTTTCCTGTACTGAAATTAGTGTGCATCTTAGAATGGATGGTGTCTTTGAATCAAAGAAATAGAGTATTCAAACTGCATATATTTTTAAAAAATGAATAGCAAACCATTTTAATTCCTTCAGTTAAGGACATGCATCCCTCGCCTACCCCCGATACCCCGTGCATTGGAACTGCGTGGCTTGAGGACTCTTGGGTGTTCCCTGATTCATGAGTTTTAACTCCACCCAACATTTTTGTATTTACGATCAAAAGCCCCAATTTGCAAGTTTCCAAATACAGTGCCGCCGGGTCCAAAACCCAGGATTCATTGTTCGTGTCGAGCTGTTGCTGTTCATTCGCCGCCTCTGTGCCGGGCCTGTGCCCCATAGATGGCCCTATGGTCTCCCACCTTCTGCCGGAGTCGGGGACGAGTGCGGACTTCCACTGAGAGGCTGGCCATGCGCCCGACACTGTAACTGTCCACCCCTTGTTCCGTCTTTTGGTTTGTTGTCGGCACCACCGGCCATTAAGTTGCACGGGGCAGCGTCAATGGAGGCTGGCTCCCTCCGCCACTCGCCTGCTCGCCCAGAGCCTCTTCCCCTCCGGCTGGCCAGCCTTCACTCGGTGTGCTCTTCCACCCACTTGCGCAGCCGCCGGGCATAGGTACGTGGCGGCACCGTGGAGAAGCTTTGGTTCCAGTAGCGGATCTTCTTCCAGAGGGTCTCCAGCTTCTTGCGGCAGCCGTACTCCGTGAAGAAGTCGATGATGCCCAGGAAGTAGCGGTACTCAGGCCCGTCGACCACGTGGAGCGGGTTGCGGGAGTTGGACAGCATGCGCAGGTTCTGGTCCATGTGGATCGAGTCGTTGGTGAGGCTGGTGGCGCCCCAGGCGATGCGGCTGGGCACTCCGATGCCCCTGGGTTCGGAGGAGCCCCCAGCCTCCCCCTCGGAGCTGTCGCTGCTGTGCAGGACGTAGGGTGCCAGGATGTCGCGCGTCAGCGTCTCGCTCTTCAGCGACGGCTCCAGGTCGACCTCCACGCTGGGCCGGTGCTTCAGGTACAGCCCCAGCAAGGTGTGCAGGGTGGTCTTGCTCTCCGGGGACAGCTTGTAGAACTGGTCGAGGCTGGAGACGGTCTGGTGGATGAAGGACGACAGGGAGCTCTCCTCTTCGCCATCCAGCGTCACCACGGAGGGGTTGCGCAGGCTCTGGTTGACCGACCTGTGGGAAGAGCGTAGAGGATAGGGCTGTGCAAAGCTTGGCTTGCGCCTCGTACGTCGGATCTGTTTCCTCAGATTCCAACACGTAGTGCAATATTAAGACACACAGGCAAAACATGTGACCTATGACTTTTCAGGTGGGTGGCATAAGTGGCGGCGGATCTCCGTCTCCCCCAAAAGGGCTGGGTTTAACTTTGAGGCTTTAACACGGGAAGTGAGCAAAATTCTGGGAAAAAGAGTTTAGGGCAGGGTCCTTTGAATTCTCTGCCATAGGGCTCCTCGCTTTCCCAAACTACAGTTCCCAGCATTCTGCTTTCTGCCTTGTGCTACCTCCTCCTCCTCCCTGAAATCTAAAGGGATTTCAAGACAACAGAAGGGGATTGCTGGGAGTTGAATCAAGCCTGTGAGAGGCAGTAACTCCAAAGTTTACTGAGTAAGTTTCCTATTATTATTATTATTATTATTATTATTATTTTACTGACACAAAAACACAGTACATCACAGCAAACAAGATCTATATGCTGGATTTTGTATCACAAAATCACAAGTCGAACACTTCACAAGTCTGTGTGATGTATCATTATTATTATTATTATTATTATTAGTTTGAAACACAACAAGATGAGTCCACAGACAAGATCACTCTGCTGGCTGTTGTATTGGATCACACGTCGGACACTTCCCAAGTGTCTAGGACTGTGTGATGTATCGGCGAATAATGCATGCAGATTCCAGTAAGGTGGCCTTCTGCAGCTGGCAGATGGTAATTTTGTCAGCGCCGATTGTGTTTAAGTGCAGGCCAAGGTCTTTAGGCACTGCATCCAGTGTGCCGATCACCACTGGGACCACCTTGATTGGTTTGTGCCAGAGTCTTTGCGGTTCGATTTTTAAATCCTCATATCGTGTCAGCTTTTAAAAATTATTTTTAAGTATTTATTATTATTATTATTATTATTATTATTATTATTATTATTATGTCAAAGGTACCTATCTGACCGCATCTCTGCCTATGAACCCACCAGGACTTTGAGATCTTCCGGGGAGACCCTGCTCTCGATCCCACCTGCTTCTCAAGCTCGGCTGGCGGGGACGAGAGATAGGGCCTTCTCGGTGGTGGCTCCTCGGCTGTGGAACGCCCTTCCTACGGACATTAGACTAGCACCATCTCTAATGGTATTCCGCAAAAAGGTGAAGACCTGGCTGTTTGTGCAGGCGTTTGAGTAATTTAGTGCAATCTGGTAATGGAACATAGGAATGGAACAAGGACGACGAACCTGGACTACGCTTGGATGATGAGAAGATTGGGTACGGTTGTTTTTTGTAATAATTGTGCATTGTAATTGCTTATTGGTAATTTATGGATAATGTGTTAAGTCAATTGTTATATGTTGTATGGAACCACTGCTGTTTCTACTTTTACTGTTTGTGAACCGCTGTGAGTCGCCTTCGGGCTTGAGATACAGCGGTATAGAAGCAAAGTAAGTAAATAATAAATAAATAAAGGCTGGGTGAGAATCTGCTTTGGAATAAGGTGTCGCATTTGCGGTTCGATTTTTAAATCCTCATATCGTGTCAGCTTTTAAAAATTATTTTTAAGTATTTTTTTATTATTATTATTATTATTATTATTATTATTATTATTATTATTATTATTATTTCAAAGGCTGGATGAGAATCTGCTTTGGAATAAAGTGTCCCATTCTGGGCAAAGCCATGCAAAAAGGCGTTGGAAGGTGTTCAGAGAAGGCCACCAAGGTGATCAAAGGTCTGGAGCAGGCATGGGCCCTCCTTGCAGGTGTTTTGGACTTCATGTTCCACCATTCCTAACAGCCTCAGGCTCCTTCCTTTTTCTTTTCCCTTTCCTTTTCCATGTAAATGGCTGAGGGAGAAAAGGAAGGAGCCTGAGGCCATTAGGAATTGTGGGCGTTGAAGTCCAAAACACCTGGAGGAAGGGCCCAAGTTGGCCCATGTGTTGGCCCATCTGCTAGAAGCGGACCCTGTCCACCTGGACACATTCACAACTCCGGGCTCCAGTGTTTTCCGCAGCACTCACATCGTTGTCCTGGTGATGATGTTGACCAGCGCCTTATTCAGGATGCGATCGTCCTCGCGGAGCGGCTGGATGCCCACCAGGAGGCTGTAGTCAATCACGTGCAGGTGCTTCAGGAACTGGGTGTCCAGCTCCACCTGGCGCACGAACCAGGACCGCTGCTCGTCTGCAATGGAGGAGAAGAGGGAAGCCGCTGAGTGCCCCTTTCTTTCGCCCTGCGAGGCTGAGCATGCATGTGCCTTCAAGGCACCCACTCCTCCTTTCCAAACACATGCCATCCCTGCATGCTGCATTTGGTCAAGCTGGACCAAAGTGGCTAGCTTTCTGCATGCAGGGAAATGCACCCTCTAAAGCAGGGGTCCCCAAACTAAGGCCCGCGGGCCACTTCCGGCCCGCCAAGGGCACTTATCCGGCCCGCGGAAGAGGAGTGCCCCCCTCCCCACAGTGCCCCTCCCTTGGCTGGCTCATGCTATCCGTCAGGCCCGATGAGCAGCGTGAGCCACACAAGGTGCTTTACGCGAGAGTAGGCCACGCGGTGCTGCTCCTCTCTTGGCAGGCTCACGCTATCTGTCATCAGGCCCGATGGGCAGCATGAGCCAGCCAAGTGAGGCTGCCCCGGCGCTCCATTTAGTCATGCCGGCCACATGACCTTAGAGGTGTCTATGGACAACGCCAGCTCTTTGACTTAGAAATGCAGACGAGCACCACACCCCAGAGTCGGACACGACTGGGCTTCATGTCAGAGGAAAACCTTTAACTAGGATAATTGTGGAAGATCCAGGGTGGGAGAAAGAACTCTTGTCTGTCGGAGGTAGGCATGAATGTTTCAATTGGCCACCTTGATGACCATTTCATGGCCTGACAGTTTTTAGGGAGAATCCTTTCTTGAGAGGGGATTAGCTGGCCCTGATTGTTTCTTGTCTGGAGTTCCCCTGTGTTTGAGTGTTGTTCTTTATTTACAGTTATAATTTTAGAGGTTTTTTTTAATACTGGTAGCCAGATTTTGTTCAGACTAGAAATAGGAAGATTTCCCATTCTCTGCTCCTGGAATTACTGCCTAAAGAGGGCGAGAAAGAACCCTTCCACACAGAAAAATAAGATATCTGCAATGTGCATAGGAGTTTTTAAATTGATTTTTTTTTTAAAAAACTATAGTCCGGCCTTCCAACGGTCTGAGGGACAGTGAACTAAAAAGTTTGAGGACCCCTGATCTAAAGCAGGCATGGGCAATCCCTCCAGTTCAAAGCCATTGAAACACATCCAAAGTGACAAACTACTTGGGGTTTGAGTATGCATCAAATCTGTTTGACTGGTTTTAACTGCGAATCTTTTCAATCTGTTTATATTAAACCTGTTTTAATATTTGTATATTTTTAAATGCTGTGCTAACGTTTTTACATACAGCTGCTTTGAGACCCCTTTGGGGGAGATCAAGCGGGGTCTAAATACATATAATAATAATGATAATAATAATAATAATAAGTAAGTGAGCCCATGGGTATCAAGCGTGTGGTTGAGTGGCACAGCAGTCCCTTTTTGTGGAAAGAAAATTGAAAGGGAAAAAGAGGAGGAATAAAGGGGAATGTGACGGGCAGCCTACCGAGGCAGATGGTATTGCCTCCGAAGTTGAGGTCCTTGAAGACCATGATGACCTCGCTGCCTTCAGGGGCCGCCTCCGTCCAGCGGTTGACCTCGCAGCCTTTGATGTCGTACCTGGGAGGGAGGGAAGGAGCACCTCTTCAGGACGTGTCTTTAATAAAGCGGGCATTTATTATGTATTTATTTGCTTTATTTCTATACCGCGTTTCTCAGCCTAATTAGGCGACTCAATGTGGTTTACACAATGAAAATTATCACAACAATAACAGTTAAAACACATCGTACACAATAACAAAATACACAATTATTATCAATTCATGATGCCTCAATAACAAAGCAAAATCCATTCTCATAGTCCTTGTGCCATTCCTATGTTCGATTTACCGTCTTCCTATGTTCATTGCGCTGATTAGCCAAACGCTTGCTCAAAGAGCCAGGTTTTAACCTTCTTTCGAAACGCCAGCAGCGAAGGGGCCTGTCTGATGTCAATGGGTAGGGCATTCCATAGCCGAGGGGCCACCACCGAGAAGGCCCTGTCTCTCGTCCCCGCCAACCGTGCCTGTGATGCAGGCGGGACCGAGAGCAGGGCCTCCCCGGATCTTAATGTCCATTGGTACATAGGTGGAGATGCGTTCGGAGAGGTAAGTGGGGCCGGAACCGTTTAGGGCTTTGTAGGCTAACGCCAGCACCTTGAATTGTGCCCGGTAGCAGATTGGCAGCCAGTGGAGCTGGCTCAACAGAGGAGTGGTGTGCTCCCTGAGTGCCGCTCCTGTTAGCAACCTGGCTGCCGAACGCTGGACCATCTGAAGCTTCCGGGCAGTCTTCAAGGGCAGCCCCACGTAAAGCGCGTTGCAGTAATCTATGCGGGATGTGACCAGAGCGTGGACTACCGTGGCCAAGTCAGACTTCCCGAGGTACGGGCGCAGCTGGCGCACAAGCCGGAGCTGTGCGAATGCTCCCCTGGCCACCGCCGAGACCTGGGGCTCCAGGCTCAGCGATGAATCCAGGATCACACCCAAGCTGCGAACCTGCGTCTTCAGGGGGAGTGTAACCCCGTCCAACACATTGCATTGTTACTTCCTTTGGGTAACATTGGTTCTCAGCAATGCCTTGATGGTACATCTTGAAAGGCAGAAGGTGGGATACGGATCCCAAACTGCAACCTGCACAACCAAATAGTCCAGATCCCAGTCCATCCAGGCTCAGAAGGATGGAAGCAATGCATGGGAAAGTGGCTATCGCAGACTGCCATTGATGGCTGCTGTGGTGGAGGCTCCTTTTTTGGAGGCCATCTGTCGGGGGTGCTTTGAATGCGATTTTCCCGCTTCTTGGCAGGGGATTGGACTGGATGGCCCACAACGTCTCTTCCAACTCTATGATTATATGATCCGTGTTAGTGTGTTGATACCAGGACTGTGGGGAAGCTGGCTGGGAGTCAGCTGCATTAAGATCACTACTGACCAAAAGGTCATGAGTTTGAAGCCGGCCCAGGTCGGAGTGAGCTTCCGACCAAAATTGTTGTCGACCTTTGCAGCCTGAAAGACAGTTGCATCTGTCAAGTAGGAAATTTAGGTACCACTTATGTGGGGAGGCTAATTTAACTGATTTACGAGGCCATGAAAAATCTCCAGCAAGTATGCAAAGAATGAGGAAGTACTTCATCAGTGTCACAAACGGACGGTGAAGCAACAGCTCCCCCGGTGGCCAGAATACCTTCATTAAAAGCTGGAATGTTAAATAGCCTCTGAGTGTCTGTCTATATATGTTGTGTGCCTATGGCATTGAGTGTTTGCCATGTATATGTACATTGTAATCTGCCCTGAGTCCCCTGTGGGGTGAGAAGGGTGGAACAGAAATACTTTAAATAAATAAATGCCGATTGCGATTCCCGGGACATACTGGTGTGTGCTGGTTGGGGGATTTCTTGGAGTCTGGATAGTGCTATCTTTGATCTGTCAACTTGACGCAAGACTTTGTTATAAGAAATTGAACAAAGAAATATTTATTTAAGGATTCTCAGGCACACAAAACTTAGTAGTTACACAGTAGTTTCTTCTCAGTATTTCCTACCCAGAGATATTAGATCGCCCCCTCCCTCCTGACTTTCCGGAAAAAAAAGGTGAAAACTTGGCTCTTTGAGCAAGCTTTTGAGAATGTAGTGGAATAGATAACATGGAACTATGAACTGATGAACGTGGAATGGCTAGACGATGTTACTGGAAACGCTTTTAACTAGATGACACCGATGATTAGATGTTTTAATGGTTTTTATACCTGTTTTTATATTGTTACGTTGATGGTTTTCAATTGCACTTTTATGGATGTATGGCATCAAATTGTGCCAACCTGTAACTCACCTTGAGTCACCGTAAGGGCTGAGAAAGGCCGGCTATAAATATAGTAAATAAATAAATAAACATAAATGGGCAGAACCTGGCCTCTCCAAACAAGAATGGCATTTTGCTCCGTTCCCCAAATTCCTAACGTTGCAGATGTTGTTGTTTCTTGTTTCTTCTACTTCTACTCCTATATTTATACCCTGCTTTTTTCCCTATCAAGGGAGGTTCGCTCAAAACAGTTTCAAAGCTACTTAAAACTTAAGTTGAGCACAGAGAACTGCATTCAGGCATTCAAAGAAAGAGCCACGTGCCGGGAATGAGAACACAATAAAGAGAACGTGGTGGGAGCTTCTCTGCCTGCAATGCTAGCCATTGTGGGACGGATGGATAACATCCTGAGCGGGGTGCAGAGCTCTTCTTATTGGGGCCCATTTGGCCTCCTGCTAATACAGTGTTTCTCAACCTGGGGTCGGGACCCCTGGAGGGGTTGCAAAGGGGTGTCAGAGGGGTCACCAAAGACCATCAGAAAACTCAGCATTTTCTATTGCTCATGGGGGTTCTGTGTGGGAAGTTTGGCCCAATTCTATCATTGGTGGGGTTCAGAATGCTATTTCACTGTGGGTGAATTATAAATCCCAACAACTACAACTCCCAAATGTCAAGGTCTATTTTCCCCAAACTCCACCAGTATTCACATTTGGGAATATTGAGTATTCATGCCAAGTTTGGTCCAGATACATCGTTGTTTGAGTTCACAGTGCTCTCTGGATGTAGGTGAACTACAGCTCCCAAACTCCAGGTCAATGCCCACCAAACCCTTCCAGTATTTTCTGTCGGTCATGAGAGTTATGTGTGCCAAATCTGGTTCAATTCTGGTCCACTTTGGTGGAGTTCAGAATGCTCTTTTAATTTAAATGAACCATAAATCCCAGCAACTACAACTCCCAAATGACAAAAACCACACACACCCCCCTCCAACCCCACCAGTATTCAAATTTAGGCGTATGGGGTATTTGTGCCAAATTTGATCCAGTGAATACATCCTACATATCAGATATTTACATTATAATTCATAACATTAGCAAAATTACAGTTATGAAGTCGCAACAAAATAATGTTGTGGTTTGGGGTCAACACAACATGAGGAACTGCATTAAGGGGTCACAGCATTAGGAAGGTTGAGAACCATTGTGCTATTGGCTCCAAAAAGGACGCTGTGCATGGGACTCACCGCTCCAAGATCCTCTCGTGGGGGTAGAAGATGCTTTGCATGATGATGAAGTACTTCTGGAGAGGAAAACAACATGCATACTGTATGTATAGGTAGATAGGAACTGTTTTAAAGACCCCCATTGCCCATATCTGGAATATGGGGTGTGGTATTAGTTGGGCCTGTAGTAACTCTCGAGCAACCAGAAATGTCATTTATCCCATGGGTACCCATGGGTTGTTGCCATGAAATGGCACTATGGCCACCAGCCATAAGTCATACATGATGGAGGATTGTGGACGTTGTGGCCAAAGCATGGGCTTTGGGAGTGATGAGAGTTTCCTTTGGGCGGCTCTGCTGATACTCACTGGCGGCTGCAACACTTGCGGGGACTCACCTTCTTCTGACGAGGGATGACTATACTGTGGATCCCTATTAGGAGGAAGAGAAGAGAACGTGGGCGAGAGCGGAGAGGGTGCTGCCAAGAGACTTGGATCCCATTCATGCAACTCTTACCCAAGAATTTGACCAGGAGGGAGTGCGGGTAGCTCTCCATGTGCTCAATGTATTTGGGCAGGTTGGTCAGGATGAAACGGATCTCCCGCCGCTTCTGGGTCTTCAGGAAGAAGTGCTTGTCGTGGCTGACGGGAACAACAGGAGAAGGAGATTGCGGCCCCAGGAAAGTTGGGGTTGCCTCTAAGCCTGTACACATATGTACCTATCAGACAGGAGCTAAGCCTTTCTATCTATGTGCTGCCCTCTTGTGGTGGCATCCTAGCCCTGTATACATACATAAATATTACATACTTAGAGGCCAGTAGCTAATCCTTTCTATCTATATGCTGACCTTTTGTGGTGGTATCTGAGTCCTGCAGATAGATAGATAGATAGATAGATAGATAGATAGATAGATAGATAGATAGAGGCCAGTAGCTAATCCTTTCTATCTATATGCTGACCTTTTGTGGTGGTATCTGAGTCCTGCAGATAGATAGATAGATAGATAGATAGATAGATAGATAGATAGATAGATAGAGGCCAGTAGCTAATCCTTTCTATCTATATGCTGACTTTTTGTGGTGGTATCTGAGTCCTGCAGATAGATAGATAGATAGATAGATAGATAGATAGATAGATAGATAGATAGATAGAGGCCAGTAGCTAATCCTTTCTATCTATATGCTGCTTTCTTGTGCTTTCTTGTGGGTGCATGCATACATACATACATACATACATATCTAGAGGCCAGTAGCTAATCCTTTCTATCTATATGCTGCCCTTTTGTGGTTGTATCTGAGTCCTGCAGATAGATAGATAGATAGATAGATAGATAGATAGATAGATAGATAGATAGAGGCCAGTAGCTAATCCTTTCTATCTATATGCTGCTTTCTTGTGGTAGCATCCGAGCTGTGCATGTTGTTGTTGTTGTTGTTCATTCGTTCAGTTGTTTCTGACTCTTCGTGACCTCATTCATGGACCAGCCCACGCCAGAGCTCCCTGTCAGCCATCACCACCCCCAGCTCCTTCAAGGTCAGTCCAGTCACTTCAAGGATGCCATCCATCCATCTTGCCCTTGGTCGGCCCCTCTTCCTTTTACCTTCCACTTTCCCCAGCATCATTCCCTTCTCTAGGCTTTGCTGTCTCCTCATGATGTGAAGTATGTATGTATGTGTGTATGTGTGTATACGCTGCGCCCTTGTGGTTCCAGCCAAGCTCTGCACACATGCATACCTAAAGGCCAGTGGCTAATCCTTTCTATCTACACACTTCCCCCTTTTGCTGTCAGAACATCTCTTACCTGAGGAAGAAATTAGCAGAGCTCTTGGAGTTGCTGATAAACTGTAGGTAGGAGTTCTCGCAACACAAGGATGTTTGGTAATCCAGATCCATCATGCCAAGGAAATGCCGGAAATAGGCAAAAACGGGCCCGGCGTACGTCCGCATCTCATAGCCCTGTGAGGGAAGAGCAACTTGGGGTTGAATCACTTCTGCTCAGAGGCCAGGGAATTAGGAGCAGAAGGAAAAAGCGACCCAATCCAACAATTCATGATCTGCATCCTGAAGATGTCACAAAGTCCCCGGTTCTCACGCCACCTTTGCAATTAATCCATCAAGGTGTGCCCCATGTTCCCAGTTTTTGCCTGGCCCGTTATGACTGGCTCCTACCTCATGGGGCTGCTTCAGCACTTTCCTAAAATCGGACGTCTTGTGGACTTCCTGGGAAAGAAGAGAAAGAGGAAGAAAGCTTAAGAGGACACTTCTGAATGGGACATGCGTGGCAAGAGCACCAGCTAAGGGCCACATGGTTGGGACTTTGGGGGAATTCTGCACTCTTTGAGGTCCCTCCTGAGCACAAAACATCACAGAGAGGGCTAAAAACACGACTTAGAGTTCCTGCCTGGCTTGAAAACTGTCCATAGGAAAGGGATTGGAAGTCTTAGTAGACCACAAGCACTGTATCCGTGTGGCTGTGTACCTATGAGCCAGTGGTTCTCAACCTGTGGGTCCCCAGATGTTTTGGCCTTCAACTCCCAGAAATCCTAACAGCTGGTAAACTGGCTGGGATTTCTGGGAGTTGTAGGCCAAAAATATCTGGGGACCCCAGGTTGAGAACCACTGCTATAAGCTATGCCTTTCTGTCTGCTGCCATCTTGTGATTGTGTTTGAGTGTTGTATAGATACCTAAAGGCCTGCAGCTAATCCTTTCTAGCTATACACTGTCCTCTTGTGGTGGCATCTGAGCCCTTCATACAAACATACACACACACATACATACATACATACATACATACATACATACTTACCTTCCTAGAGGCCAAAAGCTAATCCTTTCTATCTCTATGCTGCCCTCTTGTGGTGGCATCTGAGCTCTGCATACACACATACATACCTACCTACCTTCCTAGAGGCCAAAAACTAATCCTTTCTATCTCTATGCTGCCTGCCTGTGGTGGCATCTGTGCTCTGCATACACACACACACACACACATACATACTAAGATTCCTAGAGTCCAAAAGCTAATCCTTTCTATCTGTATGCTGCCATCTTGTGGTGGCATCTGAGCCCTTCATACAAACACACATACATACATACTTACCTTCTTAGAGGCCAAAAGCTAATCCTTTCTATTTGTATGCTGCCCTCTTGTGGTGGCATCTGAGCCCTTCATACAAACACACACACATACATACATACTTACCTTCCTAGAGGCCAAAAGCTAATCCTTTCTATCTGTATGCTGCCCTCTTGTGGTGGCATCTGAGCCCTGCATACACACCTACATACCTACCTACCTTCCTAGAGGCCAAGAACTAATCCTTTCTATCTCTATGCTGCCTGCCTGTGGTGGCATCTGAGCGCGGCACACAAACATACCTTGAGGTCAGAAGCCGATCCTTTCTATCTCTCTATCTTCCTTGTGGTTGCATCTGAGTATACATACATACATACATACATGCCAGTAACTAATCCTTTCTGAACATGTGTGACACGGCAGCTAAAAAAGCCATTACGCTTCCAGGCTGGACATTGCCATAGGGGTCCATGTGGACCACCAACCCCGCCAGGCGCAACCCTCACCAAGCATGACCAGTTATCCATCGCGTGCTGGATCGACGCCCTGAGCCCTTGCTTCAGCATGCAGGTCAGCGGGTAGAACTCGTGGTCCTGGTTGATCTCAAAGAAGCCCAGGAGTTGCCATTGTTCGTGGATGCGCCAAAGGATCCGGTGCATGAGCGGGATCCTCCGGTGGCTCCTTCGCAGGGGCTCTCGGCTCTCGCTCTGAAAGAGGAAAACAAGCAGAGAACCAAGGTTGGAGAGTGACGGGTCTGTGCGCCACGTTGGGCCCTGATCCACCGAGCCAAGGGGGAGCCTTTGTTGAAATTTCTGTTGCTATTGTCCTCCCAATCCTGCTATATGCTTGCAAAACGTGGACTGTCTATAGATGTCACACTCAACTCCTGGAGCAGTTCCATCAGTGTTGCCTCCAAAAAATCCTGCAAATCTCTTGGGAAGAAGACAGGCGGACAAATATCAACATACTGGAAGAAGAAGCAAAGACCACCAGCATTGAAGCGATGCTCCTCTGCCATCAACTTCGCTGGACCGAAGGCCAAGTTGTTCAAATGCCCAAAGATCACCGTCTCCCAAAGCAGTTACTATACTCCCAACTCAAGAACGGGAAGCATAATGTCGATGGACAGCAAAAGAGATTGAAAGATGGGCTTAAAGCCAACCATAAAAACAGAGCATAGACACCCAGAGAGAACTGGGAAGCCCTGGCCCTTGAGCGCTGTAACTGGAAGTCAGCTGTGACCAGCAGTGCTGCGGAATTTGAAGAGGCACGAATGGAGAGCGAAAGGGAGAAACGTGCCAAGAGGAAGAAGGTGCGTCAAGCCAACTCTGTGACTGCCTTCCTTCTGTAAACCGATGTCCTCACTGCGAGAGAACATGTGGGTCAAGAATAGGGCTCCACGGCCACCTACGGACCCACCGCCAAGACATTGCACTTGGAGGGCCATCATCCTCATGCTACAAGGGATCGCCAAACTATTATTATTGCAAAGGCTGGGTGACTGTCTGTTAGGGGGTGCTTTGACTGTGCTTTTCCTGTATGGAAGAATAAAGGGGGTTGGACTGGATGGCCTCTGGGGATTTTGCTATTGTGAGGGTTGAATGAAAAGTAATGCCTCCACCTTCGTAACTCCTCAACAGATGGCAGTACTGGTATACGGCAGGTACTGGCTTGTTCAGTAGACTCTTCTCTACAGTTCCATTTTGGCAGGAAGCCTTACCATTGAACTGTTGTGTTGTTAAAGTGCAAAGTTTGGAACCCTTGACAGCAGGTGTCACCCCAAAGGAGATTCATCAGAGAATGCAAGCTGTTTATGGTGATTGTGCTGATGTGAGTACTGTGTATCATTGGGCGAGTAAGTTTAAAGATGTTGAGGTGACACTTTCTGCTGTCAAGAATTCAATGACTGTCCATTGCTTATTTCACATTGACTGACAGTCTGTGAAGGGTTCCATACTTCGCACTTTAACAACACAACAGTTCAATGCCAAAGCCTCCCGCCAAAATGGAACTGTAGAGGAGAGTCTACTGAACAAGCCAGTACCTGCCATCTGTTGAGGAGTTACAAAGGTGGAGGCATTACTTTACACTTTAACAACACAACCGTTCAATGCTAAGGCTTCCTGCCAAAATGGAACTGTAGAGGAGAGTCTACTGAACAAGCCAGTACCTGCCACATACCAGTACTGCCATTTGTTGAAGAGTTACAAAGGTGGAGGCATTACTTTGCACTTTAACAACACAGCCGTTCAATGCTAAGGCTTCCTGCCAAAATGGAACTGTAGAGGAGAGTCTACTGAACAAGCCAGTACCTGCCACATACCAGTACTGCCATCTGTTGAGGAGTTACGAAGGTGGAGGCATTACTTTTCATTCAACCAGCCGTTCAATGCTAAGGCTTCCCGCCAAAATGGAACTGTAGAGGAGAGTCTACTGAACAAGCCAGTACCTGCCATTTGTTGAGGAGTTATAAAGGGGGAGGCATTACTTTTCACTTTAACAACACAACCGTTCAATGCTAAGGCTTCCTGCCAAAATGGAACTGTAGAGGAGAGTCTACTGAACAAGCCAGTACCTGCCGCATACCAGTACTGCCATCTGTTGAGGAGTTACAAAAGTGGAGGCATTACTTTGCACTTTAACAACACAGCCGTTCAATGCTAAGGCTTCCCGCCAAAATGGAACTGTAGAGGAGAGTCTACTGAACAAGCCAGTACCTGCCATTTGTTGAGGAGTTATAAAGGGGGAGGCATTACTTTTCACTTTAACAACACAACCGTTCAATGCTAAGGCTTCCTGCCAAAATGGAACTGTAGAGGAGAGTCTACTGAACAAGCCAGTACCTGCCGCATACCAGTACTGCCATCTGTTGAGGAGTTACGAAGGTGGAGGCATTACTTTGCACTTTAACAACACAACCGTTCAATGCTAAGGCTTCCTGCCAAAATGGAACTGTAGAGGAGAGTCTACTGAACAAGCCAGTACACACACACACACACACATACATACATACACATACATACACACATATCTTGGGGCTCCATGAGAAGCTTTTGCTCAAAAAAGGGGCTCCTTGGCTGAAAAAGTTTCAGAAGCCCTACTTTAAGCAAACTAAAGGTGTTCAAACCCAAGATGGCGGACCTTCTTACAGAAGCAGGAGGCACCTTTGGGGACCTACCTGTGGAGTAGACATGGCTGGGCCTGCCCACCGCTGCCTCTCGGAGAAGCAAGAGGATGGCCAAAGGAGCATTCCGGTCTCCCAGGAAACCATGGAATGCTCTCTGAGATCCCTCGCATGGGAGCATCAGCAAGCTGGCCCTAAGTCATAGCCCATCGGAGAAGAGCATCAGCGGAGTGGCCATAATCCAAAGCCCATTGGAGAAGAGGATCAGCAAGGTGGTCATAAGTCATAACCCATCGGAGAAGTGGCACAACGGGGTGGCCATAAGTCAGAGCCCATTGGAGAAGAGGATCAGCAAGCTGGCCCTAAGTCATAGCCCATCGGAGAAGAGCATCAGTGGGGTGGCCATAATCCAAAGCCCATTGGAGAAGAGGATCACCAAGGTGGCCTTAGGTCATAACCCATTGGAGAAGTGGCACAACGGGGTGGCCATAAGCCAAAGCCCATTGGAGAAGAGGATCAGCAAGGTGGTCATAAGTCATAACCCATCGGAGAAGTGGCACAACGGGGTGGCCGTAAGTCAAAGCCCATTGGAGAAGAGGATCAGCAAGGTGGCCCTAAGTCATAACCCATCGGAGAAGTGGCACAACGGGGTGGCCATAAGCCAAAGCCCATTGGAGAAGAGGATCAGCAAGGTGGCCCTAAGTCATAACCCATTGGAGAAGTGGCACAACGGGGTGGCCATAAGCCAAAGCCCATTGGAGAAGAGGATCAGCAAGGTGGCCCTAAGTCATAACCCATTGGAGAAGTGGCACAACGGGGTGGCCATAAGCCAAAGCCCATTGGAGAAGAGGATCAGCAAGGTGGTCATAAGTCATAACCCATCGGAGAAGTGGCACAACGGGGTGGCCATAAGCCAAAGCCCATTGGAGAAGAGGATCAGCAAGGTGGCCCTAAGTCATAACCCATTGGAGAAGTGGCACAACGGGGTGGCCATAATCCAAAGCCCATTGGAGACGAGGATCAGCAAGGTGGTCATAAGTCATAACCCATCGGAGAAGTGGCACAACGGGGTGGCCATAATCCAAAGCCCATTGGAGACGAGGATCAGCAAGGTGGTCATAAGTCATAACCCATCGGAGAAGTGGCACAACGGGGTGGCCATAATCCAAAGCCCATTGGAGAAGAGGATCAGCAAGGTGGCCCTAAGTCATAACCCATTGGAGAAGTGGCACAACGGGGTGGCCATAAGCCAAAGCCCATTGGAGAAGAGGATCAGCAAGGTGGTCATAAGTCATAACCCATCGGAGAAGTGGCACAACGGGGTGGCCATAAGTCAAAGCCCATTGGAGAAGAGGATCAGCAAGGTGGCCCTAAGTCATAACCCATTGGAGAAGTGGCACAACGGGGTGGCCATAAGTCAAAGCCCATTGGAGAAGAGGATCAGCAAGCTGGCCCTAAGTCATAGCCCATCGGAGAAGAGCATCAGTGGGGTGGCCATAAGCCAAAGCCCATTGGAGAAGAGGATCAGCAAGGTGGCCCTAAGTCATAACCCATTGGAGAAGTGGCACAACGGGGTGGCCATAAGCCAAAGCCCATTGGAGAAGAGGATCAGCAAGGTGGTCATAAGTCATAACCCATCGGAGAAGTGGCACAACGGGGTGGCCATAAGTCAGAGCCCATTGGAGAAGAGGATCAGCAAGCTGGCCCTAAGTCATAGCCCATCGGAGAAGAGCATCAGAGGGGTGGCCATAAGCCAAAGCCCATTGGAGAAGAGGATCAGCAAGGTGGCCCTAAGTCATAACCCATCGGAGAAGTGGCACAACGGGGTGGCCATAAGCCAAAGCCCATTGGAGAAGAGGATCAGCAAGGTGGCCCTAAGTCATAACCCATTGGAGAAGTGGCACAACGGGGTGGCCATAAGCCAAAGCCCATTGGAGAAGAGGATCAGCAAGGTGGCCCTAAGTCATAACCCATCGGAGAAGTGGCACAACGGGGTGGCCATAATCCAAAGCCCATTGGAGACGAGGATCAGCAAGGTGGTCATAAGTCATAACCCATTGGAGAAGTGGCACAACGGGGTGACCATAAGTCAAAGCCCATTGGAGAAGAGGATCAGCAAGCTGGCCCTAAGTCATAGCCCATCGGAGAAGAGCATCAGAGGGGTGGCCATAAGCCAAAGCCCATTGGAGAAGAGGATCAGCAAGGTGGCCCTAAGTCATAACCCATCGGAGAAGTGGCACAACGGGGTGGCCATAAGCCAAAGCCCATTGAAGAAGAGGATCAGCAAGGTGGTCATAAGTCTCTACCAACCAGGGATTATATTTATCTGGCACCTACCAATCCCCATGGATTAATGCTGCGCATACAGTATTATTATTATTATTATTAATCCAATAGAATTGACATAAGATTAAGCCTGTTGAAGAAGTGGCCCAGCGTGGTGTCAACACTGGTGATGGGATAGTTAAATTTGTTATTAATTAAACAACAACATATTTGTTTTTGGGCTATGGCCCTAAATATTAATATATTTATTATTGGGCTATGACCTCAATTGAATAATAATCATTTTTATTTATTAGCTGTCCCCTGCCATGCGTTGCTGCGGCCCAGTGTTTTTGTGTGTGTATAATATGTATATATTTGTGTATATATGTGTGTTTGCATATATATATGTGGTTTTGCACATGCATTGTAATGTATTTTTTTGGCATTTTAAATTTATTATTATTATTATTATTATTATTATTATTATTATTATTATTTTATTTGCAGTATTTATATTCCGCCCTTCTCCTCACCCTGCAGGGGACTCAGGGTGGATTACAGTGTACACATATATGGCAAACATTCAATGCCAATTTTTGACATACAAACATATACAGACATACACAGAGGCTATTTAACTTTTTCTGGTCGCCAGGGGAGCTGTCGCTTTCATCGTCCATCTGCGACACTGATGAAGCACTTCCGCATTCCCCGCATGCTTCCCCGCTGGAATGCTTTGCTGGAGTCTTCTTTATGGCCTCATAAATCATACACTTTAAGGTGGTACCTACTTTTCCTACTTGACAGATGCAACTGTCGTTCGGGTTGCAAAGGTCGACAACAGGCTACACAATTGGTTGGAAACCCACTCCAACCCGGGCTGGCTTCGAACTCATGACCTTTTGGTCAGAGTGATCTTAATGCAGCTTACACTCAGCTGCGCCACAATCTCTTCTGCTGTGTTTTTCAGTGTTTTTATGAGTGATGGTCACTTGTTGGTCTGAGAGGGGTTACTGTGTCCAAATTTGGTGTCAATTCGTCCAGTGGTTTTTGAGTTCTATAAATCCCACAAACAAACATTACATTTTTATTTATATAGATTTGGCACTGACCCCAATTAAATAATAATAGTAATAATTATTATTATCTTTGTTATTGGGCTATGACCCCAATTACATAATTATTATTATTGTTATTGGGCTATAATCCCAATTAAACAATAATAGTAATAATAACAATTGTATTTGTTATTGGGCTCTGTCCTCCGTGGCGACCACAGCAAGGAGAACACTGAAGTCCGATAAAACCTTAGAATCATAGAATCAAAGAGTTGGAAGAGACCTCCTGGGCCATCCAGTCCAACCCCATTCTGCCAAGAAGCAGGAATATTGCATTCAAATCACCCTTGACAGATGGCCATCCAGCCTCTGCTTAAAAGCTTCCAAAGAAGGAGCCTCCACCACACTCCGGGGCAGAGAGTTCCACTGCTGAACGGCTCTCACAGTCAGGAAGTTCTTCCTCATGTTCAGATGGAATCTCGTTTCTTGTAGTTTGAAGCCATTGTTCCATTGTCCTAGTCTCCAGGGAAGCAGAAAACAAGCTTGCTCCCTCCTCCCTGTGGCTTCCTCTCACATATTTATACATGGCTATCATATCTCCTCTCAGCCTTCTCTTCTTCGGGCTAAACATGCCCAGTTCCCCAAGCCGCTCCTCATAGGGCTTGTTCTCCAGACCCTTGATCATTTTAGTCGCCCTCCTCTGGACACATTCCAGCTTGTCAATATCTCTCTTGAATTGTGGTGCCCAGAATTGGACACAATATTCCAGGTGTGGTCTAACCAAGCAGAATAGAGGGGTAGCATGACTTCCCTAGATCTATACACTAGGCTCCTATTGATGCAGGCCAAAATCCCATTGGCTTTTTTTGCCGCCACATCACATTCCTGGCTCATGTTTAACTTGTTGTCCTTATCTATCAATGGAGAATGTGATGCATGTCTTATGACTAGGAATTCCAAGATGGTGAAAGACTGAGGGTCAGAATGTGGAATCTCTACAAAACAGAAACCAGAGAAAGAAGAAACCTAAAAATATATATATTTATTGTGAACGCAACAAGGGGCCTGAGGCTGTTAGGAACTGTGGAAGTCGATGTCCAAAACACCTGTCGGGAAGGCCGAAGTTGGCCCAGGCCTGCTCTAGTTCAAGTCCTGGTTGTCACAAACCGCGGCAATACTCAGCATGGAGGGTGCTCAGTGGTTGCTTTGAGAGCCCTTTTGGAAAACTTCAGGCCAGCCAGATGTCGCAAGGAAAGATGTCAATTAGAATCCATTCTGCTCAGTGTAAATCTTGATTTATACAAGGGAAAAACCATGTCGGATGCACATAGGGGGCCCGGCGGCCATTGGGGAAAAGGGGAAAGGAAACCCCTGCAGCGCCTGCTCCAGAAACGCGGCAGAAGCCAATTCCTGCAGCTTCTCTCGCAGTCAAAACACCTTTGGAATAAGCTTGGAGACTTCCAACATTGCAAAGGAATCGTTTTTAAAAGGCCAGGAGGGCGAAGATCAAGTGATAACCCAGTGTGGATTCACACACACGCACACACAAGGAATGGGAGAATGCAGAGTGAGCTGTGTTCCCTTTGGTCCGTAACCAGCAAAACACAAACAGGACGGCGTCCCTGCTCTTCCTGGCGGCCTGCCTTCCTTCACGCCGATTTCTTTGCCGCCTTCCTGCTCTTCCACGTGATGACGGCAATAAAAGTCCCTGCAGAAAAGAGACACCATTAAGCTGTGACTCTGTGAGAATACAAAGGGGATGGAAAACAGGGAAGGATCATGGCTGGTCTAGAGAGATACTCCCACAAGAGACTACTCAAGGCGGAAAATGCTCGGCGTTGACTCACCGACAAAGAGGAGCAAGAGCAGCCCTGCAGCGACAGGGATGAGGACGGAATACTCTCTCGGCAGGAAGTACGCTTGGATCAGGTGGTCGCTCTCAATGAAGGGCTGAAGAGACAGACAGGGGAAGATGGCTCACAAAAGGAAAGCACGCTACCTGGGTTTCCAGGTATTGCAAGGAAGCCCCAAAAGCAGTCCTGTGTGTGTGTGTGCATATATATATATGGTTTCATGGTTTCCCCCTGGCAGGAAGTCCAGTCATGTCCAACTCTGGTCTCATCTCCATTTCTAAGTCAAAGAGCCAACGTTGTCCATAGACACCTCCAAGGTCATGTGGCCATAGGCATGACTGCATGGAGGATTGTTACCTTCCTGCAGAAGCTGTGCAGAAAAACAGAAAAACAGAAGCTGTTCGAAAACATTTGCATGTTTTCGAACTGCCAGGATGGCAGAAGCTGGGCCTAACAGCGGGAACTCTCCCTGTCCCGTGGATTCGAACCGCTGACCTTCCGGTCAACAAGTTCAGCAGCTCAGCAGTTTAACCCATTGTGCCACCGGAGGTTCCATATACATACATGTGTGCATACATATTATATGCATACATATTAATTTATTCTATACATATAATATATATGCATATAATTTTAATGTATATATATATATCTATATTCTTGATATATGTATATGTATATATTTTATTCTATACAGACATATATCAATAATATAGACTAAAATTCTCACAAAGTCTGCAGCATACTTTTTGATCAGAGAGTGTTGGTGTCTCACCAAACTACAGCTTCTATGATTCCTAAACCTTTTTTTTTGTCGTGTCAGGAGTGACTTGAGAAACTGCAAGTTTCTTTTGGTGTGAGAGAATTGGCGGTCTGCAAGGACGTTGCCCAGGGGACGCCCGGATGATTTTGATGTTTTATCATCCTTGTGGGAGGCTTCTCTCATGTCCCCGCATGAGGAGCTGGAGCTGATAGAGGGAGCTCATCCGCCTCTCCCCGGATTCGAACCTGTGACCTGTCGGTCTTCAGTCCTGCCGGCACAAGGGTTTAACCCACTGCGCCACCGGGGGCTCCTATATATAATATGAGAATTGAAGAGGTCCTGAATATATATGACATAATATATATTAAATATATTGATTAATATATATAATATTATTATTATTATTATTATTATTATTATTATTGGAATTGGAGGGGTTCTGAATATTCACATGGGAGGGATCAATGTATTCTGCCTTTATCTCTTTAAAGGAATATAGGATCAAAATAAACAAGAAGCAAGCCAGTTCATACCAGTACGATGATCCAGACGGTATAATAAGCGAAGAGGAGAAGGCTGAAGGCAACCAAGCCATAGCCAACCAACTGGTCAGTTGCAGTGGCCTGAAAGGGAAAAGGGAGAATCAATGCTGACCCCTTGTCTGTCTGTCTGTCTGTCTGTCTGTCTATCTATCTATCTATCTATCTATCTATCTATCCATCCCTCCCTCCATCCATCCATCCATCCATCCATCCATCCATCCATCCATCCATCCATGTGTGTCTATCTATCTATCTATCTATCTATCTATCTATCTATCTATCTATGACAATGTATGTATGTATGCCGGTTTCTACCACCAAGGCTTCTCTGTGGTTTGGTGGATTTGGACCAATCTTGGCACTTTGTCCCTTCATGGTCCAACTTAAAAGGAAAAAAAAGGGCCAAAGCGGATTGGCTGTGCCTCAGTGAAGGACCAGCTGCTAGGTGAAGTGGCCCTCCATGACGCCGCTGGGAGAGAAAGGGAGTGAAGTGGCCTGCCTGCTGCAAGGAGACATGTATATGAAGGGAAGAAAGAAGGGAAAGAAAGGAGATGAGAAGGAAGGAAGGAGCCCTGTGAACCATCGCGGAGATTAAGATCCTCCGGGGAGGCCCTGCTTTCCATCCCGCCATTGTCACAGGCGCGATTGGTGGGGACGAGAGACAAGGCCTTCTTGGTGATGGCTCCCGGCTATGGAACTCCCTTTCTGGTGAAATCAGGTCGGCTCCCTCCCTCCTGTCCTTTAGAAGGATGGTCAAAACTTGGCTGTGGGACCAAGCTTTCGGGACAGGGCAATAAAGCGGCAATAGGAAAGATGAGCAGGGCAAGTAGATTTGACATGGATGACTAGGACAGTTTTAAATGGTGTATTTTAATATTTTGATAATTTTTGTTTTTGATATTTATGTTTTGTATGTGAATCTGTGTTTGCCGTGTATATGCTGTGCTCCACCCTGAGTCCGCTTCGGGGTGAGAAGGGTGGAATATAAATGTTTTAAGTAAGTAAATAAATTTTATAATGTGCTCATTTTAGTCAAGCTGTCAATACAAATCATCTTGTTTAGTTTGGCCATGTCTTACGGCAGTCGTTACCACAAATCATTGGGCATTGTGTTCTGAGTTTTAAAAAGTTGTTTTATATACGCTATAGTTTTGCTCGATTGTCTTGTCCTCTGTGTTTATTTTATGCGTGGTCTTAGGCACTTTGCGTCATATGAAAGACGCCCTGAGTCCCTTTGGGGAGAAATAACGTGACTGTCTTTATTACACACATACTTAATGGCAGTGAATGGGGAAGCCTCTTAATATGCATGTAATATGTTCTCTCTCCCAAAACATCCTGAGTTTTATTTTATTTTTTGAATTTTATTGTATATTGTATGTTGTTGTTGTCGGCGGCCTTGGCCTTTGTAAGCCGCATCAAGTCCTTCGGGAGATTTTGTGGGGTATAAATAAAGTTAATAATAATAATATTTCTGTTTCAATTTTATTTTAGTGCCTGTGTTTCTTCATTTTGAATCACAGGGAATTTAATTAAAAGAGATATTTCTGAATTAATGTTTTGAAACATGTTATTACATATGTGTGTGTGTGTAATTTTAGTCTCTCTCTATATATAATCTATCATTTTATTCTATACACACATATATCATTATATGTATGTATATAATTTTAGTCTCTCTATATATAATCAATATTCTATAAATATATATATATTATCTTATTCTATACACACATATATAATATGTATGCATATAATTTTAGTGTATGTATAATCTATATTCTTTATATACGTATATATTTTATTCTACACACACATATATATCAATAATATATATAGACTATATATATATATTATTGATATGTGTCTGTAGAATAAAATAATATATACATATATAAAAATATAGATTATATACACTAAAATTATATGCATCTATATATTATTTTATTCTATACACACATATAATATATATGCATATAATTTTAATGTATATATATATATATTCTTTATATACATATATATTTCATTCTATACATACATATATCTCAATAATATAGACTAAAATTATATACATATATATATTATTGAGATATGTGTCTGTAGAATAAAATAATATATACGTATATAAAGAATATAGGTTATATATACACTAAAATTATATGTATACATATTAATTTATTCTATACATACATATAATATATATGCATATAATTTTAATGTATATATATCTATACATGTAGATATATGTATATGTATATATTTTATTCTATACAGGCATATCTCAATAATATAGACTAAAATTATATACATATATATATCATTGATATATGTGTGTGTAGAATAAAATAATATATACTTATATAAAGAATATAGATTATATATACACTAAAATTATATACATACATATTTTATTCTATACACACATATTATAATATATATGCATATAATTTTAATGTATATCATTTAATATATATCATTGATATATGTCTGTAGAATAAAATAATATATACGAATATAAGGAATATAGATTATATATAGACTAAAATTATATGCATCTATATATTATTTTATTCTATACACACATATAATAATATATATGCATATAATTTTAATGTATATATATATTCTTTATATACATATATATTTCATTCTATACATACATATATCTCAATAATATAGACTAAAATTATATATATATATATATATCATTGATATATGTCTGTAGAATAAAATAATATATACGAATATAAGGAATATAGATTATATATACACTAAAATTATATACATATATCATTGATGTGTGTGTGTAGAATGAAATATTATACACGTATATAAAGAATAAAGATTCTATATGCACTAAAATTATATGCATATATATATATTATTTTATTCTATACACACATATAATATATATGCATATAATTATAGTCTATATATAGAATCTATATTCTTTATATACGTATATATTATTTTATTCCATGTACACACATATATAAATATATATGTGTATACAACTTTAGTCTATATATAATATCTATTTTATATATACATATATATTATCTTATTCTATACACACACACATATATGTTGTTGTTCATTCGTTCAGTCGTCTCCGACTCTTCGTGACCTCATGGACCAGCCCACGCCAGAGCTCCCTGTCGGCCGTCACCACCCCCAGCTCCTTCAAGGTCAGTCGTCACTTCAAGGATGCCATCCATCCATCTTGCCCTTGGTCGGCCCCTCTTCCTTTTGCCTTCCACTTTCCCCAGCATAATTGTCTTCTCTAGACTTTGCTGTCTCCTCATGATGTGGCCAAAGTACTTCAACTTGGTCTCTAGTCTCCTTCCCTCCAATGAGCAGTGGGGCTTTATTTCCTGGAGGATGGACTGGTTGGATCTTCTCGCAGTCCAAGGCACTCTCAGGCACTCGGGAGATGTTAGCGGGGTATAAATAAAGGTTTATTTTTTAAATTAAAACTGCTCAGAAGCTTCACATCCGTAGGTGACTACAGGGAACCATGGCTTTGACTAGGCAATGGATCTTGGTTGCCAGTCTGATGCCTACTCTTTACTATGTTATCGAGACTGGACATTGCTCTCCTCCCAAGAAGGAAGCGTCTCCTGATTTCCTGGCCACAGTCTGCGTCTGCACTCATCTTTGCGCCTAGAAATACAAACCCTGTCACGGCCTCCACGATTTCTCCCTCTATTTCCCAGTTGTCAATCATTCTTGTTTCCATAATCTTGGTTTTTTTGATGTTTAGCTGCAACCCAGCTTTTGCGCTTTCTTCTTTCACCTTGATTGAGAAGGCTCCTCAGCTCCTCCTCATTCGGCCATCAGAGTGGTGTCATCTGCATATTACATGCATAATATATATGCATATAATTATAGTCTATATATAGAATCTATATTCTTTATATACGTATATATTATTTTATTCTATACGCACACATATATCAATATATATGTATATAACTTTATAATATTATATATATATATATATATAATTTTTATTCTATACACACACACATATACATATAGTAATAATATATACATATTTGTTATCTTTTGGAAATGGAAATGTAATCCCAACCAACGCAACCTCTCCCATTGGCTTTTATTTCCAGACTCACCATTGTGAAGTTCTATTTCCTGCTTGGGAAGACTTCCTTCCGGTGCCATAGAGGCGGAAGGAGAAAGAGCGGTCGCAGAGCCATAGAGGTGGGTGCTTTAACCGCCGCGCATGCGCACAGCCGCGGCTAAGAACGGGTTTCTAGCCTCTCCGTTTGCAGGCCTCCCACGCATGCGCACAGCAAACTTCCGTCTCATTCGGAGGCTGCCGCGCACGCGCACAGAGGCCAGGCTCGGGCCATAGACCTTAAAAGAGGAGATGCGCGCCTTGTGACCCTAGACTCATGAAAGAGAAGAGTCATTCGCAGGCCTGCACAGCTGAGGCTCATTGGGAACCTTGAGAGCAAAGTGGTCTTCCAAATGCATTATGCACCTTTCATGTTGCAGACTGTGGCTGGAAGCCATGCAAGGGTGGACTGACTCCTGTCATGGGTGAAAATAATTTGGGAGCACATGGTTCTTTTTCCTTTTGCATTCAGCACCCAGAAAATGCAAGAAAAAAAGCAGAAGGTTATTTGATGGCAGGCCCATTAACGACTCCTCGTTTGCAATTCCTAGAGAACTTCCAGCCTTATTTATTTATTTTATTTTTGCCTTGTTTTTCATCCCTAACTTTCCCTGGCAAAGTCCAAGTGTTTCTCTGTCTGTTCCACAACAGCTGTCACTGGGTGAAGTGGCCCTTCACAATGTCACTGGATTGAGTGGCCCTCCACCGTGTCACTGGATTGGCTGTCACTGGATGAAGTCACCCTCCACAGTGTCACTGGGTTGGCTGTCACTGGGTGAAGTGGCCCTTCACGATGTCACTGAGTTGGGTGGCCCTCCACAGTGTCACTGGGTGAAGTGGCCCCCCATGACGTCACTGGATTGGCTGTCGCTGGATGAAGTCACCCTCCACAGTGTCACTGGGTGAAGTGGCCCCCCATGACGTCACTGGGTTGGCTGTCGCTGGATGAAGTCACCCTCCACAGTGTCACTGGGTGAAGTGGCCCCCCATGACGTCACTGGGTTGGCTGTCACTGGGTGAAGTGGCCCTTCACGATGTCACTGAGTTGGGTGGCCCTCCACAGTGTCACTGGGTGAAGTGGCCCTCCATGTCACTGGATTGGCTGTCGCTGGATGAAGTCACCCTCCACAGTGTCACTGGGTGAAGTGGCCCCCCATGACGTCACTGGGTTGGCTGTCACTGGGTGAAGTGGCCCTCCACAGTGTCACTGGGTGAAGTGGCCCTCCACGTCACTGGATTGGCTGTCGCTGGATGAAGTCACCCTCCACAGTGTCACTGGGTGAAGTGGCCCTCCACCGTGTCACTGGATTGGCTGTCACTGGATGAAGTCACCCTCCACAGTGTCACTGGGTGAAGTGGCCCCCCATGACGTCACTGGGTTGGCTGTCACTGGGTGAAGTGGCCCTTCACGATGTCACTGAGTTGGGTGGCCCTCCACAGTGTCACTGGGTGAAGTGGCCCTCCATGTCACTGGATTGGCTGTCGCTGGATGAAGTCACCCTCCACAGTGTCACTGGGTGAAGTGGCCCCCCATGACGTCACTGGGTTGGCTGTCACTGGGTGAAGTGGCCCTCCACAGTGTCACTGGGTGAAGTGGCCCTCCACGTCACTGGATTGGCTGTCGCTGGATGAAGTCACCCTCCACAGTGTCACTGGGTGAAGTGGCCCTCCACGTCACTGGATTGGCTGTCGCTGGATGAAGTCACCCTCCACAGTGTCACTGGGTGAAGTGGCCCCCCATGACGTCACTGGGTTGGCTGTCGCTGGACGAAGTGACCCTCCAGTGTCACAGCGTTGGCTGTCACTGGGTGAAGTGGCCCCCTGTGACGACAGCTAGTTAGCTGTCGCTGGGTGAACTGGCCCTCTGTAGCGTTGCTGGGTGAGGTGGCCCTCTGTAATGTTTCTGGGTTGGCTGTCACTGAGGTGGCCCTCTGCGATATCGCTGGGTTGGCTGTCGCTGGGTGAAGTGGCCCGAAGGAAGCGTGAAATGTCTTATTCTAATTTGTATGTGTCCTCTCTGAATTGCAGATGTTAGGGAGGGAAAGGAAAGAAGGGAGGGAAGGCAAGGAAAGGAGGAGAGGGAGGAAGAAAGAAAAAAGGAAGAGTGAAATGGAGGAAAGAAAGAGAAAGATGGAAAAAGGAAAAAGTGAGGAGGAAGAAAAAAGGGAAGGAAAGAAAAGCATATGGAGATGGAAAGAAAGAAAAAGAGAGGAAAGAAGGGATAAAGGAAGAGAGAGAGGAGAGAAAGAACAAGGAAAGAAAACAAGGAAAGGTGCCTGAGGGAAGCAAGAGGCGGAAGAAAGAAAAGAAGGGAAGGAGGGAGGGAAAGGAAAGAAGAAAGGGAGGGAAGGCAAGGAAAGGAGGAGAGGGAGGAAGAAAGAAAAAGAAAGAGTGAAATGGGGTAAAGAAGGAGAGAGAAAGATGGAAAAAGGAAAAAGTGAGGAGGAAGAAAAAAGAAGGAAAGGAAAGCATATGAAGACAGAAGGAAAGAAGGGCTAAAAAAAGAGAGGGAGGAAGGAAAAAGAAGGAAAGAAGAGGAGGAAAGGTGCATGAGGGAAAGCAAGGGAAGGAAGGAAGAAAGGAAAGGAAGAAAAAGAGAGAAACGGAGGAAGGGAGGGAGGGAGGGAGGGAAAGTAATGAAGGAAGGGAAGGCAAGGAAAGGAAGAGAGGGAGGAAGAAAGAAAGAAAAAAAGGAAGTGTGAAATGAAGGAAGGAAAGAAAGATGGAAAAAGAAAACATGAGGAGGAAGAAAAAAGAGTGAAATTGGGGAAAGAAGGAAAAAGAAAGATGGAAAAAGGAAAAAGAGAGGAGGAAGAAAAAAGAAAAAAAGGAAAGCATATGGAGACGGAAGGAAAGAAAAAGAGGAAAGAAGGGATTAAGGAAGAGAGGGAGAAGAGAAAGAAGATGGAAAGAAAAGGAAAAAAGGTGCATGAGGGAAAGCAAGGGAAGGAATGAAGGAAGGAAGGGAGGGAGGGAAAGGAGAGAAGAAGGGAGGGAAGGCAAGGAAAGGAGGAGAGGGAGGAAAAGAAAAAAAGAAAGAGTGAAATGGAGGAAAGAAGGAAAGAGAAAGATAGAAAAAGGAAAAAGTTAGGAGGAAGAAAAAAGAAGGAAAGGAAAGCATACGGAGACGGAAGGAAAGAAGGGCTAAAAAAGAGGGAGGAAAGAAAAAGAAGGAAAGAGAGGAGGAAAAGGAGAGGTAAAGAAGGGAAGGAAGGAAGAAAGGATGGGAAAGAAGGGAGAAAAGAAGGAAGGAAGGAAGGAAGGAAGGAAGGAAGGAAGGAAGGAAGGAAGGAAGGAAGGGAGGAGGGAAGGAAGGAAGGAAGGAAGGAAAGGAAGGAAAGAAAGAGAGGAAGGAAGAAAGAAAGAAAAAAAGGAAGTGTGAAATGAAGGAAGGAAAGAAAGGTGGAAAAAGGAAAACATGAGGAGGAAGAAAAAAGAGTGAAATTGGGGAAAGAAGGAAAAAGAAAGATAGAAAAAGGAAAAAGCGAGGAAGAAAAAAGAACGAAAGGAAAGCATATGGAGATGGAAGGAAAGAAGGGCTAAAAAAAGAGGGGGAGGAAAGAAAATGAAGGAAAGAAAAGGAGGAAAGGTGCATGAGGGAAAGCAAGAGAAGGAAGGAAGGAAGGAAGGAAGGAAGGAAGGAAGGAAGGAAGGAAGGGAAGAAAAGAAGGAAACAGAGGGAAGAAGGAAAGTAAGAGAGATGGAAAAGGGAGAAAATAGGCAGGCATTGGTCCCATTGCGTACACATGAAACGAAACGGTAAGAAAACAAACCAGGCCAGGTGTGATGTACCAAAAAGAAAAAGAAGAACCACCTTTATTTGTTATTCTCCCCCGCAAAAAACGGTAACGACATTTGACATTATATAGTGAATTTCCTCTTTATATGTGTGGCTTCTCTACAATAAGGAAGGAACCGGAGAACAGAGTACAAACACGGATCATCGGTCGAGTCAAAGACGGCACAGCATTCCGTTAAAACAGGAACGGGCCTATTCCGGCCCTCCCGGTGTTTTGGACTACAACTCCCATAATTCCCAGCAGCCGGTCACAGCCTCAGGCCTCTTCTTTTTCCCCCTCCCGCTTAAGCGGCTGAGGGGGAAAAAGAAGAGGCCTGAAGCTGTGACCGGCTGCTGGGAATGATGGGAGTTGTAGTCCAAAACACCGGGAGGGCCAGAATTGGCCCGTGCCTGCATGAGAAAAACAGAAACACCAGAGGAACCTCACAAACCATTTGAAGGAAAAATAACAATAATCAAAAACCGAGCAGCCGAACTAAATGCGACCTCTAGACTTTCTTTTAACCGCAAAGGGCTTTTTATTTTTATTCATTTTGTAAAGATCTTTAATTAATCTGCTTTTTTTATCAAGGCCCCTCCCCTCCCCAAAAAATATTAGAAAGTGTTAAAACTATCTCTTGTTTGCATAGTCCCGTATTTATTTATTTCTCCCTTTTCCAAAAATAATCGTCATCACCTCCGCGCTCGAATCTCTCGCTAATAGAAGTATCTGAATATAATAAAAACCTGAACCGCGATAACTTTTTAAATTTTTTTTCCCTCTCCAAGAAAATAAACGTGATCTCTTTCTTTCTTTCTTTCCTTATTTTTTTTTCTTTCTTTCTTTCTCCAACCCGGTCAAAAATATGGGTTTCAAGAGCAAAACACTAGGCAAACGTCATTTATCGAAGCGACAGTAAAAGAATAATATGAAGAGACTGGTCATCAGCTCCTCAAAGGGTCGGTCGGGGTTCGGGTGCGGAGACTTCTCGCCCCGTCATCATCGGGATGAGAAATATCCAGAAGAAGCAAGGCTCGCAAAGGGAAATGCGGCGTGACGGCCAAAGAATGGCCTGCTTCGCGGTCAGCGGTTTGGTCAATGCGCACATACGAAAAACGACATCAATGTGAAGGGGAAGTCTTCCAAGTTGGTTTCCACACACTGATGTGCCGCCCGGAGAGCGCAATTGCGCAGGTTGCAACTCAGCAGAAGGCGCTCTGCGTCCTACAGAATGGGGAAGGGGAATGAGGAGAAGAGAGAAAAGGGGAAGGGGAAGAAGAGGGAGGAGGATGAGAATGGGAA